CCATGACCCTAGGCCATATAAGGAGTTTTGACCATGGCTCAGATATAGATATAGTAATATATAGATATTGACATAGATCATTGACATGCTATAGACAGATATAGATTGACAGAGACAGAGACAGAGACAGAGACAGAGCCAGAGCCAGAGCCAGAGCTAGAGACAGATAGATAGGTAGATGGATTGGATAGAGGGCTTTTCCCACCTTCATGAGCTGCCGCTTAAAACAAAACACACACACACACACCCGAGACATCAAGGTCGTGCGTGTATGGGTATCTTTGAACTAAGGGTGAACCAGCCGCGAGCTTCAAGGACTCAGTCTCGTCAAACAATATGATCCCGTTGATTCACACTGATCATGCCAATAGAGACTGTGTGATTCCTGCGTTCCATTGGCCATGTTGGGGATCCGTTGGGGTACAGAGCTGAGTCCCCAGGATGCATTCCTGGAGTTTTGGCTGACCGACAGTTTATCATGGCTTACCAGTGGTAAGCAACATCATTTCGGGCCCAACTCTGCTTCCCTTGGTGCGCTTTTACTCCACCCAAGAGGGCTGCCCTCAAAAGGTGCCAGGCCCATTGATTCACATCCAGCCTTCAAAGCAAGATCCTGGGAATGGAGGACATCTGACACGCACACACACACACACACACAGAGCAAATTGGCAGCATCCTGAGAAGCGTGATGTTCCGCGTTGGCTGGATATATGCGTGGAGAAGAGTCTTCGGGGTCACCACGTTTCCGTGTGCCCAGTTGATTTGGGTTGTTTGAGAGCAGGGATCTTTGGCTTCCCCTTCACATAGCTCAGGTTTCCAGGGCCTTCATAGCGCCATCCAGCACCTCCAAGAGGAGCACAGTCTGTGGCTCGCTGCGAGAACCAAAAACGACAAGTTCATTGTTCCCAACAGCTGGATGCTGGGATAAGGGACTTGGTGAGTCGCAAGAAATCCCGATCATCCACAATCCTGCAGCAGTTTGGATGGGGACTGGGATAAACCCAACCTTTTGGTGCGAAGTGGATGTTGTCCATCCGCACAATCATCGGAGTCTTTGCTCTGAGGTTTGGGGTGATGTATTTCGTTGGACCTTGGCTGCCGCCTGCATCGCCAGCATCTCCAGCATCTCCAGCATTGCCAGCAACGCCAACGCTTCCATCACCAAAGCATCACCAGCAACGACAGCATCATCAGCGCTTAGGGTGTGCTCTCTCTGGGCAACCAGAGTGTGCGAGCGTCTGAGTGGGAGTGATGCCTTCCCGCTCATTCATTTGCTTGGAGCCAGACCCTGTTTGGCACTGCCCAGGCTGCACAATTGGTTGCTGTCCAAAGGAACAACTTTCTTGCAAACCACATTGTTCAGTGTATTCCGTTTCGGCGGTGACATTTTGCGCAAAGCGCCTCATTCGGTCTCAAAATCGGGAAACCTGGGCGGGATTTCAGGCTAAGGAACCCTGTTCGGGATGTCCTGAAACAACGGGTCGCCTTTTCGTCACACCCTTTCTGTGTCAAACTCTGAGGCCCGCGGACCAGCTGCGCTGGGGCTTGCGAGCGGCGGCAGAGGCACTTGCAACAGACTGGAGGTATCCTAAAATGGCAAGGCAAGGGTTATAGGTATGAAAATAGGCGCCACAGCTAGGTTCCATGATTGTTTCCTTCTCAGCTGTCGCGCTAAATTGTCATTGGCTTTAATATATATATATATATGTCTATAATTACAAACACACGGCGTGCCCTACAATTGAAGGCCCTTTTGGATGATCCAAAGCCTTCGCCAGCTAAGCTGGGTGTCCAAATAGAATACCCTCATGCCGGACGGAGGTCCATGCCAAGTTCGGTGGTTGTGTGCATGTCAGGTGTTGCTGTCGCCTGTGACAGCAGAGCTGCTTTTCTGCACGAGTTTACAGTGCGTGGGTTGGCTCCAGTTCAGCGTGCCACCCATCCGAGGAAAGTCATCCGGTAGATATGTAGTATGATACGCTGCTTGCTATGTCTTCCAGAACAAGTTGCATGGGTTCGGGTTTCATGTACACACGAGCCAGGATTTCTGTTGGGCCTGAATGAACCTCCTGGAGGGTGAAGCACCCGCAGGACCCTCGATGCTTGCATTTGTATTCAAGTGGAGATGTGCCAAAATGAGGGCACCCTCACTCATACGGAACTCTTTAGGAAGGGGCCAAGATGAGTCACTGGCGTCAATTCCCAGTCAGCTGAGGTTTTCTTACCAGCGACTTGACTGCAACAAGGGACTTGAGCCCGAGAAAAGGCCTTCTGCCGCCCCGCCATCTCACTTTAACCCCCCCCCCGCCCCCCCCCGCTTCTCCGTGCGGCGGTTGGAGTCCTTTCTGGATTCTGGTTTCTGTTTGGGAATGAAAACGGGAATGATTCCAAACATTCCACAATGACACCTTACGCCAAACCCATGCTAGGCTTGCCGAACCCATCGCGGGCGAGGTGGCCTACTCCAGGCCAGATTGACCAAGTAGAGTGCAAGTGAGCCACAATCAAAGCGTTACGCAAGGGACAGTCACATCATATCATAAATGGATGCAGATATCCGCCTTTTGAAGTCTTTACGCGGGTTTTTGGGGTAGACCACGTTTTGTTTGCCAGGCTTTGTTTCTGGCTCAAGTGGTCATTAAAAGGTCCGCGGCATTGTGCTAACATCTTTCTTTCAACAGAGGGATTTGTCCAATGATTTTCTATTTAGAAACTAAGACTTGCGCCAACTCACTCAGGGATGACATTTGGTGCACTCTTTGTGTGTGTGTGTGTGTGTGTGTGTGTGTGTGTGTGTGTGTGTGTGTGTGTGTGTGTGTGTGTGTGTGTGTGTGTGTGTGTGTGTGTGTGTGTGTGTGTGTGTGTGTGTGTGTGTGTGTGTGTGTGTGTGTGTGTGTGTGTGTGTGTGTGTGTGTGTGTGTGTGTGTGTGTGTGTGTGTGTGTGTGTGTGTGTGTGTGTGTGTGTGTGTGTGTGTGTGTGTGTGTGTGTGTGTGTGTGTGTGTGTGTGTGTGTGTGTGTGTGTGTGTGTGTGTGTGTGTGTGTGTTTGCATCTCTCTCTCTCTCTCTCTCTCAAGCCTTTTACTTGTCTCTTGTTATTTCTTTTATTCTTTCTTTCCTTCTCTCTCCCTATTGTTCTTGTTCTGTTTGTTTGATTTGTCTCCTTGCTGTTTGTCTTTCTATTTTCCATTACCTTCCTCTTTGTCTTTCTCTTTCTCTTTGTTTTGTTCTTTCTCTTCCTTGCTGTTTGGCTCTTGCCCCGCCACCCCCACTCTCCTTTCTTTTCTTGGGAGCAGAGGCGAAGGGCAGAGAGAAGGGACGAGGGAGGGACAGGGGATGCAAGGACATGTAAACAAGACACATAGACGTATTATAGTGTGCCTGTCAGCAATTCTGATACAAAAGCGTCAACATGGTTACATGTATGTTGTCTACTAATATTTGTATACATATAGCATTGTACGTACACTTTATTTGAACACATTCAAAGTGCACGAAGACCAGCCAAACTCCCAAGGCATCAACATGTACAGACTGAACGAATCGAGGTTTCTCTTTGGTTCCCTTCGATGCCTTTCATGTGTCCAAGCACATGCGTGTCATGTGTTCTTTTCCTTCTCAACCTGGCTCCAGAACCTTCCCGTTTCGGCCTGCACTCTGGTCTTATCGAGCAGTCTCCCAGTACTCTTGTGGTCTTTCCATACTCTTCCTGTCTGCCAGTAGTCTTCTCCAAAGGTCCTAGTCTGGGTGACCCAAAATCGGCTCTGTTCCCTTCGGATGAAATCGGAACCCGTTTGGAGCCCGAGTCGGATCCCCTGTTTGAGGTGCCGTGTCTCGCGGCGCAGCTGCTTCCAAGTGCTGGCCGGGGGCTTCTTCGGGCTGCTGCAGCGCCCGCAGCCTGGCCAAGGGAGCTCGGTCAACGTGGTTTTCAGAGATATTCGACAATACAGGTCCAATATATATATATATATATGTATATATACACATACATATATGTACATATATATATATATAAGAAGGATATTTCCCAAAGCAGAGGACCCCCACAAAAAGGTTATTTCCTGTTGGTTTCTTTTAGCTACCAGAAACAGGCCCAACATCTTAAGACCCCCCACAAGCTCACTGGGGCCAAAAGAATTGAAATTGCCCACACCGAAGGTCTTTGTTGTTATTTCGATGGGTGAGCATGTCAGTAGAACTCTGAGGTGGTCTGAGTGGTCCGCGTCTGATGCGCACGACATGCCCGGCTTCTCCTTCGAGAAACTCTGGACATACAGCTGCGAGAAGCTTGGAGAACCCAGAAGAGCAGGTGGGTTCCTCAAAACTCTTGTCAGCTACCCTTTCGGGTTCTTTCCCATTTACCTTGCACAAAAGTCTGGGGTTCAAATTACGAATCCAAACTACCAATTATTTGTACGGGTGACCAGATGTTAGGCACCCCTCCATGTTAAAAGTAGCGTGCGAAGTGGGTCCCCTTTGTTTTTCGGCATGGAAGTTGTGATCGTGTCTTGAAGCTAAGGAGGTGGGGCACCAAAAACTTTGTGCTCATGTCAGTGCTCATCTTCTTCGCGAAAGCAGCACAGAGCCCTTTGGCCTTCAAGTGTGCTCTGGCACCCTTGGAACTCTGAGCTGCGTCTCCAAACATTGGAGAACTGCACCTCTGCATGCCCTCAATTTTCGGACTTTCTCGGAATGCGTGGTAACAGTATGTCGAGTCTTTTGTCTCTGCGGGAGAACGGTCGTTTGTCGCTTGCATGGCTTTCAACGGGAGTAGGTCACTGAAAGCAGGGTCACTGGTGTCGCTTGGGAGTGCGAGCCTCAATTGAACCGGCAGCCCTCTTCTCGCGCTCGGCCCGGGCTTCAATTTTCTCGAAGTTATTTCAGCAAGAGGCGTGGTTCGGATTCTCGGATCTCAGGTGACATCATGGATGAGGAGTTGACTATCATCAGAAAGGCGCAGCTTCTCGCCTATCTTATGCTAATATAGACACTCTCATCCATGCCATTGGTGCTAAATAGCCTATAGTTTGATTTGCCCAAAAAAGGAAAAGGGGATGGATAGTGTTATTTTTTCCAGACCCTCAATATAGCCGTTGCTTGCATTCTCATGAGCCGTTTCCAGTACCGTTGGAGAAAAGGGCCGGTGCAAAAGTCCGAAAGAGCCCTTTCCTTTTTGGAAAGGGAAATGGCTCTCTCCAGCAACATCGCCAGGCGCTGGGGTCGCGGTGCAAAGTGGCGCCCTTTTGCCCTTTGGAGTTGAAGGAGGACGGCGTGTCCATCCACAGCTTCGGGGGACGCTTGGACGCGTGTCAAATGTTTTTGGGCCTGGGAGACGGGCCCATGGGTCCGAACGAAAAGCCCACCGGCTCAAAAACTCGCTCCCTGAGTTCCTGGACTTCACCCTTTTTCCATTAGCTGCAAAGGACAAGTTGTTTTGTCACTCAGGAAGTGAGAACGATGAGAAAACCTACACGAAAAGGGAGTTATTGACTTCTGTTTCTTGCACCTGCCCCTTTTTTTCCAAGAATCATGGGAGGCCGAAACAGCAAGCCGATAGCGCATTAAAGCCGTGTAGGAAGCAGAAGCGCCCGCGTGTTTAGCGCTCAAGTGGAAATCTGGGGATGCAGGCAAATTATAAGGATCGCCTGAGGGCAAGACGAGCTTACCTTTACTTGGGGATCCCTTATTTCCAACTCGCGCCTGGAAATATGGGCCCAGAGGGGACGGCCGTGGTCCCCTTTCTCAAGGTCGAACATCAATCCTAATCAAGGAGTGGCCTAGCTGAACAAAATCAAGGTGGGGTGGTGTTTCTCAAAACTTTAACTTCAGGAACTTCAGATGGTTCGCTCTCCTTCTGGCTTCCTTTCAAGCCATGGAGTAAGACATTTTGAGAAACCTTTGAGGGAGAAGCTCGCGGCTCTAAAGGCTGCGCAAAAACCCACCTCTCTTCTCGTGTCTCTCGCAGGGCCAGAACATTTGCAAGCGGACTTCGCGAATTCCTACCTGGGTGGCGGCGTGCTGAGCGGAGGCGGGATGTGTAAGCACAAAATATTACGGTGCGGCCAAAGGACTATCAGCTGTTTGCCGTGGCGAAGCTTCATGCTTTGCGGATTGACTTCAGGGTGAGGGTTTCCGAAAAGGACTTGACTTGAACGGGTCGCTCAGATTTCAGGGCTCAAATTCAAAGTTTGTTGAGCTCATGTTTGCCTTGAGCCCACCACTGCGAGGTGACTTCGCCAAAATGAGGCTTCAGAGAATCAAATCACCAGAGCTGTTGGGCACTAAACTGCGCGTACTGTGGTTGTGAGTTTTCTTTACAGGAAGCCGAAAGGGGGCGCACATGTTGGAGGCTGCCATGAGCCAACCAAGCAAATGCCGGTGTTGGTCCGCATTTCGCACACCTCATGCAAATGTTTGGCTTCCCCCCCCCCCCGGCCCCCATTTGGCACGCGCTATCCACGTGAAGCTTACTGTCCAGGCGGAACTCAGGAGGAGTGCATGTTTACGGAGTTCCCGGAGCTCTTGGCGAGCATCTACCTGGTGGAGATACTTGGCTTACGGGCCAAAAACGAAACGAAACCCCAAAATGGCGGGGATTGGCACGGCTTTTGCGTTCAGACCTTGGCCAGGTTGGGATAAGAGGGGTGCTGTCAAAAGGTGGTTTCTTACAAATGGGTGGCATTCTTAAGACAGGAGGAAGCAAGGCAACCCGACCAATTTAAGTCCCTTAAAAACGTGCACCATCTCATTATTCATGAAGGCAGGAGTAAAACAAACTAAACTGGACTCATGATTTGGATTTGGCCCAGGCGGTTTGCTTGTTTTTCTTCAAGAGTGCTTCCTGGAAAGGGTGCTCGGAATCCAGTACGAATCGGGATCGGACGACCAAAGTTGGATCTTTCAGAAGCAGCGCCTGTGGGTTCCATTTGGATGAATCTGGGTGCTGCACCAATCAAAGGAATGTGCGACCAAACTCCCATAAGTGGACACCACTCTACAACGAGAATGGCCATCCGACCTCAGGTTCATTCTGTCCCGAGGTTCAGCATTTTTTTCGGTGCTTGCTCGATCTCAGGAGGATGCTACCCCATGAGGCTGTGGAGATTGAGGGTGCAAGGAGCCGATTTGCTTTCATTGGCTGGTGACGGATTTCTGACCTTCCCACGTTGCCATGGAACCTGTCTTCGCCCTGCGGTTTGGACCATGTTCCACGGAAACAGGCCTTCTCGTGGGTTCTGCGCGAGTAAGATGCATGTCTTTTTGTTTGCAGGAGATACGTGGATCACAACATGGGGTACAGCCGAGAAGTCGCAGATGGATTCTGCAGACCATCAGAACTTGGAGCTCCAATCACCGCCGTGGCTCGTCAGCCTTCGGAGCGGGCGGGAGTTGCAGGGTGATACTTTGTGTGTGTGTGTGTAGTGTGTGTGTGTGTCTCTGTGTCTGTCTCTCCCCTCCTCCAATTGCAATGCCTCACCGCAGGCGCGTCATGATCAAATCTAAGCCTTCTGGACCACGGGCCCAATGTTGCGAATGGCGGTGATGGTGGCCTTGCTTCAACCACAATTGCCAGATTTTCTTCTCGGCCCCAGCCTTGAGTAACCCTGCTTCATCATGTTTGCAGCAGCGACCAGTTTTGATAGAGGTGAGCAGAATGGACGCGTCCACGCGCTTCAGAGAATCTGCAACCTGAGCTGCAGAAGGGACACAAGTCATTTGATACAGTCCTTGATGTCAACTTCCAAAAGAGTCCGGAATTCTTGACACGGCACTGCATTGATCCAAACAAGGTCAAAAAGGCTCTTGCAGCGGATCAACCTCCACACCACATCCCTCGCACCGATCCGAGGTGGCACTAGACGCGGTGAGTGGCTCCCTGAGTTACGGTTGCAGTACATTGGATGTGGAAGATTTTGTCTGAATGCGGAATCTACTTCGAAGGTCAATAGAAGGAACACAAACGCCTGCATAAGGGCCACAATTCTGAGAAATACCCATATCATGTATACGCGTATAGATGTATGCGCATACATATATTATGGCACCAACCATTTTCCTTCTAGGCCATTGTAGAAAGAGTCCCTTCTTGTGGGTGGTGTTCTGTTGAGGGCATGTGTGCCGTTTTGAGATCATACCTTTGTAGGGATTAGTAAGGATGGACGCCTTAGGCAATTTGGACAAATATGGCTCCTGTTAGCGGAACCATGACCATTGCCCACAGGAGTGTGTCTCCTTTTGGTTGCTTTTAGAAGCAACCCTTAAATGGGTTCCCTTACACAAAGACACGCTCAATATTTCTCACTCATGCTGCCTCCTTAGTTCCCTAATTACCAAGCGGCTTATATTGGGTTCGAGCTCTTTTGGGGAGAGGATCTGGTATGAACAACAGCGAGTCTTAGTAGGCGTATCTTGCCGAAGGCATACACGCGCAACACCCCTAGAATGACTTGACTTGGGGGTAGACGTACCGAACGTACCGAGATCCAGTGCAACTGCAGTGTTGGCTCCGCGGCGTTCAGTCGATTCCTTGCAAAGGGGGCGGTGGGCGGGTGTCGCGGTGAAGCACCTGGAAAGCGGCCGAGGGACTGGATCGTGAATGTCAACCTCGGGTTAGTCCGGAGGACTAAATGAATCAAGGGTGGTCCCCTTTTGGTCGTGAATCTATTCATTTTCAGGGAGTTCCTTTGACTAGTACGGTCCTCCAAATTAGTCCGAAGTTGACATGAGCCGAGATCATCAGCGAATTCATCGGGGGTTGCTGCCCCAAGAGAAGGATCCCCTCGAACATGGGACTCCCCAAAATCAAAGTTTAGTTATCTGGGTTTGAGAAACTCCTCGAAGGTGATGAAGTCACCTTTGGGTATAAAGCTGGTGAACGGGGTTTCGTCTAGTTTCCTTTCAGGGACCAACTTTCTAGTTGCCGTCGAATGAGCCCAGAATTCTTTGATCGGACTCTTGCTCTTTGAGCAAGTTGGCAGTTGTGTGAGCTGCCACCGTCAATTGCCAATGCTGAGGTTTCCGTCGCGTGGGCAAACATCGGCAGTATGAGATGGAGTTCATTCAGCGAGACATTCAGACGCTGTTTGGCAGACAGTGGGGCTTTAGTGTTTTTGAGTCCTATAGCCACTAGAAGCAAACTTGGACAGATCAGTTCCTTCTACAGGGGCATGCCTCTCTTATTGGAGCACCCGGATTCAGTCAGATGGTCCTTCATTCTAGATAACGAGACATTCATGAAGCCTCCGCTTCTTTGAACCTTCTCTTTAGCATTGCTAACCGCTTCCTTTTGCTCCAGACTTGAACTCCCAGTTGTCTTTCACATGTAAGTCACTTCCCCAGCTTGCGAGGAAATGTTCAGCGGCGTTGCTCCCAGATGGCAGCAGTGCAGCTGCAAGGAGCGCCAGGGTGTTTTCTTTGTTTGCCCGCCTGCCTGCCTGTTTGATTGCTTGCCCCTGTGTCACTGCGTTCTTTCTTGGTTGATTTGTTTGCTCCCTTGCTTGCCTGCTTGCCCACTTGCTTGCTGTACGTTCATGTCCTCGAGTGAGTATTTGTGTTTGTGTTTGTGTTTGTGTGGTTGCTGTGTTGTGTGTGTGTCTCTGTGTCTCTGTGCGTATTTGCTTGCCTCTGTGCCTCTGTGTGTCTTTCTGCGCGTGTGTACGTTTGTTTTGTGTGCGTACTCGCTCCTTGAGCTGGACTGTGTTCTTGAGTTCTGGCTACGCATGTCTTGTGGCAGCATGTTGCTGTTGCTTTTGCCAATCAGCAACCTTGTGAGTCAGCAACACATAATTATGTGCAGTCAGTCCGTTACTAGACTGGGGAGGACGAGAAGGAGTGGCCACACAATTTCCAACCAAGAAAGGAGGGCCGATGCCCCACCGTCTCTTCTGTTGGAGGACGAGTTACACGTCAAATACTGTTCGTGGCTCTGGGAACTTAGTGCTTGGCAGTCCGAGTTTGGCAAGTGGCCTACCTAGATCAACATGCCAACTGACAATTGACTGAGACGATGTATTTGATGCGGATGGTCATAAAACAAACCTGCAATTCCAGCAACAGTCTGCTTGGATGGACATCTCAGAACGCGTCTCAGAAGCAAGTATGACGTTGCCTTGGACTGATTGCGGCCCTGTGTTGCGCTATGTGATGTTTTATGTTTGTTTCTCGTCAAGATTCCAGCTTTTCTTCTTGCTTGATTGTTCTTGTTGCTTCCCTCTTGACTTCCCCTTTCACCCGCGTGGGTGTCAGTCTCTTGTGGTCGTTGTCGCCGATTCATGGGTGAGGTGGAGGCCCCCGGTCTCGCGAAAGAAACAGTAAGTAACAATCAGTGAGCGAGTTTGGCCCACCCCTTTCCTAAGTCTGCAAATGTATGCTAGGCATACTAATCGCCGTACTAATCGCTATCATTAGGGTCCCAAATCCATTAGTTGGATCTGCTATCTGATTGCTCACTCTGCATCTGCCATCCATCTCCAGGCGGAAGTTTGTATCTGGCCTTTGGGGCTGCGGCGCCTTTTGCGGGGATCCGGAGCTGAAGCTGCTTATACAGTGGAGCCTTGGCGCAACCCAAGTACCTGGGCAAATTATTTTTGGAGCTCAGGAGGGGCAAAAAAATGAAGGTCCCTGGAGGAAACTTTGGTTGTAGATTCAAATCAAACATGCGCCAAGCATCGGGGCCTTCTTTTGGGTGAAGGGTCTTTCGGACCTTTTTGCGCGTAAAGGAGGCCCTTTTGAGTTTCCACGTCCCGCCTTCCACCAAAAAGCTAAAGTGTTTGCAGGTAAGTCTGGCCAAGAAATCGGGGGCATGGATTGTCTACGTGCAATTGAATAGAAACCAAGCAGTTTAGGGGTGCCCCGTTTGCGAACAGGCACACTCACCAAAGTAGCACTAGGGAAACGAAGGTCACTCAGCAAAATCTATCGTCAGTTGAGGCGCAATGAATGTTGACCGCTTCTCACATGCAGTTGTTCGCTGTTAGAAGATATGGCCAGAAGTGCTATGCAGTCTTGTGAAGGGTCAAAGGGGTCTTGTTACTGTATCGGAGTTAGAAACTGGGATCACCTACCACATTCGGGTCGCATTTCTTTGAGAAACATCCATCATTGCCGCAGGTAGCTCACCTTTCAACCTTCTGCCTCTTTGGCGGTCCTTCATTTTTGCCTTTCAACCAGAAAACAGCTACTGTGGCCTTTGCTGCTCAGATGCTCGTCTCATCTCTAACAACCATTGTGATGCTGGAGCTGAGATATGGGACATGGGGTTTTAGGCTCACTTCCTGTGATACCCTTCAAAGTGACAAAGTTGTAATTACCGGCAAATCGGCCCGGTCATCTGTGCACGGGGTAACAAAAAGGGATGTTTTTTTCCAGACGTCAGAATACCGCAGATTTCGAAAATTCCCACCTGCAGGGTATCACTGCCCAAGGATCAGCTGCTCCCTGGAGCCGTCGGTGGAATCCTTGGCCTGGGCCCCGGGGGTCCAAAACGAGAAAACTAGTAACTGCATGTGGCTCTGTTGAACATACACCGTTCTTATCCGCGTTGGTTTAAAGGGGACACCAAAGAGAAACCACCCATTGTCAGCAAAAAAGGGAGGTCGGTTGAAGTGATGTTTGTAAAAAGTTTACTATGTATGAACCAGAATCGAATAGACATGTGTTTGGTTGGTGGCAAAAGCTGGGATAGGAAAAAGCATGTTGTCATCTTTGGATACCCCTTCTGGGGTTGGTTTAATGAGGCAAATCCAAGCTCATTTTGAGGATGGCCCAATTCAGAGGCAAACCCAAAAGGGGCTCCTTCAGGAATCTGTCGTGTAGCAGTTCAAGGGACCCCGCTGCCCATGGAAATATTGAACCCTTTGCAAATGGTTGGTGTCATGTTGGCTTGCAAAAAACGGCTCCCCCAAAAAAGGTCCGACACGCTGGCAACTTCATTACCACCACTGGCACAGGCAGTGGGAGCAGCGTCAGCACTAGCAGCACTAGCAGCACTAGCAGCACTAGCAGCACTAGCAGCACTAGCAGCACTAGCAGCACTAGCAGCACTAGCAGCACTAGCAGCACTAGCAGCACTAGCAGCACTAGCAGCGCTAGCAGCGCTAGCAGCAGCAATAGCAAGAAGTGGGTCGTGCAACATCAGTCCAAAATCCGTACGCTAGACGGCAATGGTTTCCCACTGCGGACTACGCATTTCGGATTAGGGATTGGAGAGCAGAGAAGGAAGCAAGAGGAGAAAAACACATCCATCCACAACCGCCCGGCAATATCGCTACTTAATGCGAATCCGCAACGATGGAGCAGTAATGTGCCAAGATACCACCAAGCAGGCCGCCCGAATCTGGCTGAGGTGTTCTGCCCCTTCGATCAACGTGAGACACTGCTTGATGCTGGCTTATTGCGCTTGCTGGACGCGCTGACCGGCATATCGGTCCAGCTCCTCGGCAGAACAAACAGCACTGGTTCAAGGTTTGCATGTGCATGATGTGCCCTGCGATAAGCCCCACATTGGCAGATTTGTCTTCGAAGCGCTTGAGAATCCTGCCGTTTGCAAGAGGATCGTTTTCCCACTCCACTTCGGTCAGCTGTAAGATTCAGATTTGTTTGAGGGTCTTTTAGGGGGGGGGGGGTTGCCGAACATGGGCTCCGGGCCGCACTGTGTTCTGCACCTGTTTGGGCATGTTTCAAAGTAAGATGGTGCAGGAAAGTGAAGGGGAAACCAACCGCTTGGAGGGGATTGGCCCTCATTGAGCCACACCCTCCGAGGACTGTCCTTGAGCTCTTAGCAGCTTGCCTGCAGGGCCCGGAAGAGCAGATTGGAATCCGGTGTTAGGAGCACGCAAGACTTGGCTGCTCTTTTCGTTTGTTTCACCTTCTACTTGGTGGCAAATGTGTGTGTGTGTGTGTGTGCGCGTGTGTGTGTGTGTGTGTGTGTGTGTGTGTGTGTGTGTGTGTGTGTGTGTGTGTGTGTGTGTGTGTGTGTGTGTGTGTGTGTGTGTGTGTGTGTGTGTGTGTGTGTGTTTGTTTGTGCGTGTTTGTGTTTGTGTTTGTGTGTTTGTGTGTTTGTGTGTTTGTGTGTTTGTGTGTTTGTGTGTTTGTGTGTGTGTGTTTGCGTGTTTGCGTGTTTGCGTGTTTGCGTGATTGCGTGATTGTGTGATTGTGTGATTGTGTGATTGTGTGATTGTGTGATTGTGTGATTGTGTGATTGTGTGATTGTGTGATTGTGTGATTGTGTGATTGTGTGATTGTGTGATTGTGTGATTGTGTGATTGTGTGATTGTGTGTTTGTGTGTTTGTGTGTTTGTGTGTTTGTGTGTTTGTGTGTTTGTGTGTTTGTGTGATTGTGTGATTGTGTGTGTGTGTGTGTGTGTGTGTGTGTGTGTGTGTGTGTGTGTGTGTGTGTGTGTGTGTGTGTGTGTGTGTGTGTGTGTGTGTGTGTGTGTGTGTGTGTGTGTGTGTGTGTGTGTGTGTGTGTGTGTGTGTGTGTGTGTGTGTGTGTGTGTGTGTGTGTGTGTGTGTGTGTGTGTGTGTGTGTGTGTGTGTGTGTGTGTGTGTGTGTGTGTGTGTGTGTGTGTGTGTGTGTGTGTGTGTGTGTGTGTGTGTGTGTGTGTGTGTGTGTGTGTGTGTGTGTGTGTGTGTGTGTGTGTGTGTGTGTGTGTGTGTGTGTGTGTGTGTGTGTGTGTGTGTGTGTGTGTGTGTGTGTGTGTGTGTGTGTGTGTGTGTGTGTGTGTGTGTGTGTGTTTTTTGCGTTTGTGTTGTTGTGTTCATTTGCGTTTTTGTTTGCATTTGTATTTGTGTTTGCGTTTGCGTTTGTGTTTGTTTTTGCGTTTGCGTTTATGTTTGTGTTTGTGTTTTTGTTTGTGTTTGTGTGTGTGTGTTGAAGATGAAGAAGAACAGTGTAGATCGTTTTTGTGGTTCCTAAATTGGGGACCCCAACAATTGGATGGTTCCCTTTGCTTCACCGGGTGATACATGTCAGCTTGCTAGGCAAAAGGCACGTTCGTGACCATGGCTTTGCGTGAACTGGAGAGGTCCATTCGACAAACTCTGGACAAAGCTGTCAATTGTAAGCCTTTGGTCATTGAAGCCCGCACAGTTTGCTAGTCCTTTCGACCATCCCGCATCAACACTTTGAAGGACAGCGCGGAGTACAGAAGCTCAAGCAATACCTTCCAATTCTTGCTGGAGAGGCTGGCGCAGAAATGCAGCTTGGCGGCTATGCATTGGCCAGGGGAGAGTTTGAATCAAAGCCTTGTGCTGAGGGGAGAGGTTAGAAGAGAACTGTCCATTCAAGGCCTTATGAAACATGTGCAGCAGCGACAATCCCTCAGAGCTCAAGTTGTGCGTTTCGACAGTTGAGGAACTGATCCACGAATCAAACGAAGGGAGACCTGAAGACGATGGAGTCCAAAGGAGTGGGCGGCTCTAGAGCACGGATTTTTCTACCTGGTGGGGTGACAGAACTGATCCCGAAAGTGAATGCCGCGATCGAAAGCGAGCGCCGCGATGAGCTCGACCCGACCGAAGCGAACGAAACGTAGAACCTCACAAGTTGGCGTATGAGCAAGCAACGTGCGGTGACTTTCTGGTTGGATGCCAGCACAATGCTCAGACAGGGGCAAGCCCTTGCCAGATGGGTCGCAGGAAAAGCGCGCAGCTGCTTGGTGGTTGGGCGGCGTCGGAGGGGCCCAGGATACTGGCCTCATAAACCTGTGTGGTGCCCATCATGACCGTTCCGTTGTACACCGGAGCCGTTCCTTTGTACGCATCGGGCCATTACCGTTGTTCAGGGGCTATCCCCTTCCCATGAAGGCTAAGGGCTGCCTTCCTTGATTCATGAATCAAGCGGGGGTTCCTTTCTGGGTCCCAAAACGTTCAGAATCCGTAGAAACGGCTGTTCAGCCTCCGTTAAGTTGGCTACAACCATGGTTCTCAGTGTGACAACATGGTCAGTAAAGTAGATGTTGGGGGCAGCGGTTCCCATACTCCCTTCTGATGTTTTGACACATGTTCCGTTTTAAAACATCACTTTGACGCTGCTGATTTAGTGGTGGTAGATGCGCCTTGCTAAGCGCATAAGGCTCACACATGCAAACAATGCCAAGTGAGGCTTGAGCTTGCGGGGATCTTGGGCGCAACATGGGACCCGTGTGGTTGGCGTCCCGAGAGGCGACCTCCGCCCTGGACGCCGAGTCCGAGGGCATCGTGCAGCAGGCGAAGCGGCTTCCAGTTGGGTCGCTTTTCATGGGCCCCGGTTTTGCGGGGGGTATTTTCCCAAGATGGGCTTCCAAAACCGTTTGGTCAGCTTCCATTGCTGGACAGAGGCTAGAGTTTGGTTCCAGAAGAGTTCCATTTTGTGGCGGTCTATGGGCAGTCAATATGTTCAAGCCATGTTTTCTGTTGGTCTCCCTTTGCACCTGCGCCAAACAAGTGGGTCGTTCAACCTATTTGAGTTTGCCGTTTTGGGGTTGCACAGGAAAAGGAACCCCAAAGAGAAGCCACTCTAGTTTTGGGGATTTTGATACAAACCCAGCACTCAGAACCTCGGCGATGGGCACCCTTTTGGGGGTCCACAGATTTGGCATCATTCGTCTCAACATGTTCAGAGGTCATTTGGCAGGTGAGCCGTGATTCATTTGGCTTTGTCTCTCTCGGCAAACTCCAAAATGGGTCAACATGGATCAACAGGGGTTGTGTCCCGTTAGTGTCTCGAACAATCCAAGTGGCAAATGTGTATATACCCTGTTCAACAAAAAGGTGCCAACTCAAAACATTGTCAGATGTAGCCTCCCTTTCTGATCCTTTGCCTTTTTGGTTTTTCTGTGTTTCTTTCAACCAGCAAGCAGTCTTCACTTTTGGCACAGGTTCGCGTTTGGTCCAGGCTTTGAACCAGTTGATGGAGCAGCGATCTGGGCGCACATTCCTGGTCAGGAGCTCAGATTCCATGTCTCCAAATGCTTGGCTTCCCTTTTGGCTTGCCTTTCATCCCAGGGCAGTTTTGTGGTGTCCCTTATTTGAGACGACCCACCGCGCGGGACCGTTGAATCCAAAAAACGGTTGCCATCAGTTTGTGTAATACCAAGCTGGGGCTGCGCTAGCTAAACCCGCCTTTTTGGCTACATGCCCTGCACGGGGTACGTATCGTGCACAACAGCAAATCCGCAGGGCTGCATGACAGTGCTTGATATGCGAGAATGATCCCTTCTCAATCCGAGGGGGTTGCTGCTGAATGGTCAGCATGATGAAGGAGAGCATGCCTTTCGGATTTGCGCCGTCGTTCAACCATTAGCTTGGTTTCAATTAAATGCCTTGCGGGCAAATGGCGAGGGGACTTCCGGAATTTTGACATTTGAATGCTGAGGTCATTGCGCACCGGCTATCTACCGTGAAGGAAGCTGATTCCATCGTGTGCCGGCTGCAGGGAGTGCGGACATGGATCAGCCTGCAGGGGACGCCCAGGGCAAACATATGCCTTGGGATGTCAGGAGTCCGCCGATTGTTGGGATGACAATTCTGCCAAGGCCCGGTTTATAATTTTTCGCACGGCGCCTGGTCAAAAACCTTTATCCGTCGGGATGAATTGCTGGGATTGTCATGGTTCATGGAGCCTTTAGCCTTTAGACATCAGACGGGTGCCTTGTGAGGGAACAACGACCATGGCACACACTGGCGGAGTATTGACCCTGGCACACATGCAGCCTGGGGCAAATGCCAACAAGCTCACTTGGCCTGGGGGAAAGATGAACACACCCTTGCGGGGCCTTTGCAAATTCCTGATTTCCAATTTGTGAATTCGAGTAATTTGCCCAGATCTCTGGGTTCTTGGTCTCCTCCTCTCAGATGGTCTGCCAGACTTGCGTTTCAGGTGGTCCTAAGCGGCGGCGAGTGTGTGGAGAGTGGGACGCACGAGGAGCTTTTGGCCAAGGGCAAGGCGCCAGCGGAGATTGGGGTCTCCTCCATTAGATTTTAGGGTGGACTAAACGCGAGTAAATGATATGGGCCAGAATCTGAACATATTATTCTTTGACTGAGGAAAATGGGCCAGAGAATCTGAAGATATTCTTTGTGTACGCCCTATTTGGGACAAGATTTGTTGCGGTTGCTTGCCCCAATGGTGTTTTTGTTCAGGTTTCGAAGCACAAGGGATTTCGGGGTTCGCCTGCCATGGACAAAGCACCTCTTGAGGTTGCCAGTACGGGGCATGGTCGTGTTGCTTTTTAGAGTCGGTTTTGGGGAGATGCAAAGGGATATTTGGTGACCTATTGTTCGGTTGTTTGGTTGGCAAATGCCCGCAGGTGTACAAAGACTTGGTGCAGAGACAGCTGGACCTGAGGAGCTGATTGCTTCGTGTGGCATCGAGGTGGCTCTCTTCGGTTTTCGGAACCCCCCATGTGCGCTAAAGGTGTGCAGAAGGCCGGTGGGTCCTTTTGGGCTAGCACAGCAGCGACCAACACCCCCTGGAATTCCCACTTGCAGTGCCTTCAAAATGAGCAACATCTTTGAGGGGGGTTGACTGGAAATGAAGGGAAGACCATAAATGCTCAGAACTATCCATTCTTAAGGGCCGTGAGATCCGGCTTTTGGGCTGGGCATGATCTTTGCTGAATCCAGGGGAAGTAGGTTGCTCAGCCCGGCTTTTCCCGGATTGGGCCTCGATTCGATTGATGGGCCAAAGGCCTACGGTGTCACTCAGCGCAATGCACAGGCGTGGCCGATGTGAGGGCGGCAAAATTGCAAAACGCGGGCAGCCGATGAATTGCTGAAGAGCCTGAGTTTTCCGTCTAATGATCCCAGATTCATCCGCCTTGTAGATTCATAGGGGGCTGTTACCGTCCAAAAGCGAAGGATTCTTCACTGGGACGCCCCCACTGTGATCAACCAGGGCTTGATTCCTGTGTTCCCGTTGCCTGTCTCTAAGCATAGCGATAGGTTTGTCCACCCGATAGGTTCCACCCGCCCTTGCAGCTTCGTTTTCCGCCTCGGGTTTTGAGCTTCGTGCTCACCGACCGCTGGACTCCTTTGGCTCCAGTCGGACGCGTTGAAGTCGCGGAGCTTCGAGCCCGCCTCGGAGTCGGGCGCAAATTGGCCCCCCATGGCCCTGGTTTTTTTTTGACCCGTTGGAGCTGCCATTTTGCAGGGCGCGGCATGGTTTCAGTCGCAGTGCTCAACTCGTAACGAGTCCCAGTTTACTCGTTTCGGTCTTAGTTTCCGGAATCGGCCCCAATTGTTCCGGTGCTAGCTTGCGTCTCGTTTCGGTCCTAGTTTTCTGCTCGTTTGGGTCCTAGTTCTTCGGTCGTTCTGCACCGGTCCCGGAAGCATTGTTTGATTGGTTTGATTGCTCTGATTTGGCAGGTTGCCTGACTAGGACGAAAATGATTGGGCCCGGTTTTGTAACTACCACGAGCAAAAACTAGGACCAAAATGAATGAGAAACTATACGACCAGCATGAGCGGGGGCAGGCTTAAAACGGCCCATACGCTGACTAGGACCAAAAAATGAGCAAACAACTAGGCCCAAAACGAGCGGGCTACCTATGTTTGCAGCTGTCTTTTAATACTACTGGTAGGCACCCGAGGTTTTAACGGTTTTGGGCAAGGGCTTTTGGGCCTAGTCGAGTATGTTTTTTTCAAAGTGAGGATCTTCACGTACTATCAGGAACAGTAATTTTGTGGGGTTCTTATGATTTTCGCCAAACCCACCATACGGAGGGTTTCTTTGGAGGATGGAGTCCCGAGTTTCAAAGTTCTTGGGTCATAGTATCCGAACGGAGCTTTTCTAGGGGTAGGTGCATGGGGTGGAGTGTTTGAATTGGGGGTGTCGGAAGGGACAGTTAAAAGAATCCCCATAGCCACGTTGGACATTGCCCCTGGGCTTAAGTCATTGAAATGGACCCATGGATAGGCACAGCAGAGGGGTGTTTTCCTCGCACTTGCAGCGAATGCTGTGGCTCCAATTGAGGAGCTAGGAGTTGATGGTTCACTCACAATTATGGAACAATTGAGGGGAAATTGATATGACCCAGTCAGCATTTGGGTGTGCCCTCATTTGAAAGACCACTTTTCAGGGTGGCGGCAAACAGACCGAAGCCCATTGAGGTGCATGTCCTGTTTGGGACAAGCTCATTTGATGAATTGGGCCCTGGTTTTGAACCCTCCTAGTTGGTTTTGGAAACTTCATAGGATCCAAACGCCCCCGTGTCCTCCAACTGACAATCAAAAACCTGGGTAGATAAAGTGTAAGGGCCAGTCCCAGCCAGAAACAGGTGCAGCCGATTCTTTTCATGGTTTGGTGAGTTAGGATCTTATATTTAGAGAAAACGGAGAAGGGGTCTAACAATCCAGGAACTTCTACAAGAGATTCACCGATTTCCACCCCCCCCGCCCTACTGCCTGTAAATTTTCCTGTAGCTGGTTTACTGGCGGGGGGTCCACCCCTGCCGGTCAATGGCAAGTGTTGCAGCTTTGGCTGCCGTGCCGCTCTCAGGCCGGATTCGGCAGCGACTCCATGGAGAAAGGCTGGACGGATTTCAGCAGCCGGAGGTTGCCCAGGGGAAACATGGGCTGAGACATGAACGGCCCGGAATCTTCCTAGGAACCTGCGTGAGCCACGACATCAAGGGTACGCACCCAGTTTTTTTCTTGGGGGAGTGGTTTGGGGGTAGTTCAAATCATAGGTTGGTATGTGCCCATCCCGTGGGCAGTGGCGGGGTATAAAGATGCAAGGAGTGGGGAAGAGCCTGTACGAGAGAAGGTGTTGGACCGCTTGCTTTGCCTGAGCTTTGGCTGTTTCTGGGTTGGACAAGATGCGTAAGAACCAGACTCCTGGCCCATGTGCAAGGGAAACCAAAGGAGCTTGTTTGAACTAACAAGGGATTGTTTGCTTTTTCATCCATACAAGAGAGACCTCACACAAGAGCTGACATCTTTTCGGGGGGATTCGGGGGGCCTTCAAATTCCAAGTACAACAAAGGTATGCTCGTTTTGGCTAGACAAAGAACGACACAGGAGGTCTATCTCCAAATAGGAGAAGCCCTCCCAAAACACCCTATCACGCTCGCCATTTGAGGATTTTTTACGCCTTGTCCAAATGAGTCTTTCCAGAGTGAACCGGCAGGTGCTTCGAGGAGACGGCCATCCAGAGGTCGGCCCAAGGCTCGGCGAACAGGCATGTCCCTCTTGAAAATGGAATGGGAACCCCTTGGTTTTGGTTTTTGCCAACCCACCTGTTTTTGTTGACCTCCATGTTATTCTGGTTTATGTGCCCAACAAGAAGGTTGAGGGTGAGAATTCGTGGCGTGCTGCCCTAACTCCACGCATGATGCCATGTTGCCTTGCGGAGAGCACTAACCACATGCGCTTCATCCTTCGATGGTTCACTGCCTGAAACCGGGGTTCTTCTTCAACTATGATCAATTCTCGGCAGGGTATCACGGTGTAACATTGCTTCAGATCGGCATGCTACCTTTTGCAGATGCGTGTTGCGGTGTAGGTGCGTACTTTGGCCAAGCTGCCAAAGCGTAAACTCCCCCAGGTGTCGTTTGTGCGGATGTGTGCTGCTGACTTGTGTGGGGACCTCTTAGAGGGACGAAGAAGAGGAGAAACACTGCTAGCGCATTACATCAAGGGGGCAGGTTAGAAACCAGAGAGCGTTGTGTTGTGTCACCAAATTTGCAACCTCAAAAGTCACAACCAAGCTGCTTTTGGCAGAAGACCGTGGCTCATATTAATCAAAACGCCCAAGCAAACAGCTGCAGAGTTCTACCCTGGTTTCCTTACATGTTCGAGCTTCGGTGTGCATGTTGCTCCCACGCTGTTTTCATGAGGGATCCGAAAATCACAGGATTCCAAGTCAACCCCCTCCCTTCCCCAAAGCCCCCTTGTGTTGCAAACAGCACACGGGTGGGTCAGGGGAGTTGGCTATGAAGACGGCCCACAGCCCTTGGAGGGCCCCGCAGAGTCCGCGCGCCGGAGCTCCTCGGCGCCGGCGGCCCGGCCTCGATGGGAGCCCAAGGCGCGAATGCAAAGCAGAAGCGGACGGTCCAAATGTCAAAAAGATGGGCGCTTGGTAGGTAGGGATGGTCATCAAGTCTCACTCTCCCTCTCTCCCTCTCTCTCTCTCTCTCCCTCTCTCTCTCTCTCTCTCTCCCTCTCTCTCTCTCTCCCTCTCTTTGTCTCTCTCGTCTCTCTTTATAGCGGGTTTGCGCAACCTCCCGGATCAGGCGGGTTCCCTGTGGTTTCCTTAGGTTTCCCTTGCTTGAATGAGATTGACAGCAATCTAGCCAGGTCCATCAAAAGGTTGAATGTTGAGGGCTTATCCAAATTGTTGGACCCGGTTTCCCTTCAAACCACCAGTTGGGTGATTTTGTGGATCCAGGTGGTTTCCCTGTTGCCCTTGAGTTGGCAAATTCTGAGGTATATAGGTAGTCTCTGAACAAGAATGGGGTTTGGGACTCAAACGTCCCGCAAAACAAGGGCTTACGGCTCACTGGAGGTTTCCCAATTTGTGAATTCAGGGCTACCTGACTGAATTTCCTTGTAAGGGGACCCGACATGGGCTCTAAGCAATGGGTTCCAGCTTACACCAAAGGACGATGGGTTCCATGTCCTTTTTTGTGGGCAACATTCTTGACCGCCCGAAAACCAGCCGTGTTTTCTCCGTTTTTTTGGCCATGGGCGGACATGGGCTTCCCACCCCTAAAAACGAAAAAGGCGCTGGGGTGCCACGGACACTTAGAGTCTATTTTGCAAAAAAACAACCCTAAAAAACCAATAATTACCATCCAATACCCAAAAAGAAGGAGGTTGCAAACTAGACCCTAAGTGTCCACCACCCGGGGGGGTCCCCCGGTCCCAGCCGATGGCCAGGTGCAGGAGCCCGAGGCGAAGCCCCGGCGCCGGGCGGCCTCCACCGGCCGCACCGCGCGAAGGCGTCCGGAGGGGTGAGGGGTCCGTCCCGCCGCGGGGGCCAAATCCCATTGACACGTACCCCCAAAAGAAGAGGGGAGGGGGGGAGGGGAGGGAGGTTGCTCAAAAAGTAGGGGTCACCCCCCTTTTTGCGGCAAAAAGCATTTGATTCCACGGTTTGATTGGAAGGACGGTTTTGCGAGCCCTGCAAAAAAAGGATGTGTTGGTTACAATTGTTTTATCCAAGAATACGCAGTTGTTTTGATTACCCTCCTCACCAGCAACCATGCATAAAAAGTGCAAAGCCAAACTCTTGAACCCCTGAAAAGTAAAAAGTAAAACTGCCTGAGTAAGAGTTGTTTACCTTTTTGCCGTTACGGGAGAAACGTTAAATAGAACAAAATGCTTTTGTCAATTTTACTTGTGACTCCAACAGTGTTACTGTTTGCTGGGAATACTTTAAGTAAAACAGTGAGACTCCGTGACGTGAAGCCACATGTTTGGAACTTGTGCGTTTTCACGTTTATGGCGTCAGAAGTTTTACTTTTTACTGTCGTTTTCTCTTTTACTGGAGAAACGTAGAAAAGCAATCATGCCATAAATAGACAAATGGTCATGTTTGCATGGTTGTTGTCTGTTTCTTTTTTCAGACACATGCACGTTTCGTGCAGGCATGTGCACTTTGGTGCGTGGGCATGTGTCCACTGTTGGAATTGACGCATATTAATTTGTGCTGTTTTGGTCTCGCTGATGTTGTGTGTGTTGTTCTGAAAAATCTAGGTGTTTGGAGGGGGGACATATGTATCTATCTATATATAAAGCCCGAGTCCTTCCGTATACCCAGTTTCAGCTGTTTGAGCTCGGCATTTCTCAAAATATAGCGGAGGGGAAGGCTTGAAGTGGTGCTGTTGTTTCCACCGGCAAAGCATCAGCCACATGATTTGTGTGTGTGTGTGTGAGTGTTTGCGCACGTGTTCTGAAGTACGCACTCTCCCAGTGGATATTGGGGGAGGTGAGTGTTCAATTGTGTCACGCTCAGTTGCATTCGTTCGTGCATTGGGTTATCCTGAGTATGAGCCATCAAGCTGCTCGTTTGAGAAGGCCAGTTGACGGCCAACCTGTGTCTAAAAGGACTCCGTTTTGGGTTCCAGGCGAGTTGTCCAGCGGGGAATGGTGTCAAAGTAGTCCGATGGTGGCTTTCCCGTTGGCTTTTTACTGCCCCAAAAGCAGCACCCTCAAAAAACAAGCCACAGCCCAGTTTCCCCCGAAGCGAGGCCGCGGCCAACGCCCACGCGGAAGATGGACTGGGGCCACCCGCAAGGCGCGTCGAAACGGTTGGTTTCAGGTTGTCAGTGGGACCGAGGGACCGGTTTTAGGGAAATGGTTTAGGCTGCCAGCTTTTCTGTGGGCCAAGACTCTTTTTCCAAGGGTCATGAAGTAGATATGGGAATCAAGAACTCCGGCTTCACGGAAAGGATCATTCTCCATGCTCCATGACCATGACCCTATATTTCGCAATCCTGTGGATTGATGAACCCCGTTAGTAACGCTACATGCAAGGCTTTACCAAAGGGTTGACGGGTTGCCCATGTTTACCCGGCGTAATCAATCCCGCGGATGAATTGGAGGGTGTTTCCCCAAAAGTTATTTGGATCTCTACAATCTCTGAGATTCAATCAGCGGCCGCTCCCCTTGCAGGGTTTTGCGTGCTGGGAGGCTGGGGGCAGCCCAACTGAGCCAGGCAGCAAGCAAACGCGTGCGTGTCTTGTAGATGTAGTGTCGTTTGTATTTTGTGCGCTGAGAATGTTGCTTGGCGCAGGTGTTTGTAGTATTATCTGATCTGCATGTGCATCTGACCGCTGCCTAGCCTGGAGAGCCGAGGCGCATTTTGCGCACTATTTCGTCGGCGCCCACTTGCGCGCGACACTTGCAACGTGTCTTGCAGTTGTTCCTGGATGTAATCTTGTTTGTGTTTTGTATGCTCTGTTGTAGAATGTCCTTTGGCGCGGGTTTTGGCAGGGACCCGGCTGCTTCCGTAGGCACCACTTGCGCGTGCAAGCGTCTTGTATTTGTTCTTGTATGTTGTCTCGTTTGTGTTAGCTGGATTCATGAGGTTGTAAAACACAATTATGATAGTTCCTGCGCGAGTACCCTCCGAGTACCCTGCGTGCGAGTGTGCGAGTATATTGTGCGTGCGAGTGTGAGACTGAACTGTGCGAGAGTGTGAATGGACTAGACGGCCGGACGAGCGGACGAGTGACTCGAACACTCGCGCGCCCTACTCGCACACGTTCACTCGCACAGAAATAAGGTCATTGTTGTTAGACCTTGTTTTTGGCTCACAAATAGTACTTTTGTCAAAATATGGTTCACAAAAACAGTTTCTCTGTGCGAGTGAACGTGTGCGAGTTGGGTGCGCAAGTGTTCCACTCGCACACTCGCACGCCCTACTCGCACACACTACGCGCACACGCGTCCAAAAGCTACGTGTACACTATTTGGCAAGTGTGCCTAAACAGCCTGTTTACAACCTCTTGTTCAGCTGACGTTTGTGATTTTGTGCTGTGTTGACTAATTACTGTTGGACGCGACGCTGGCAGCGATCAATCGCATGCGTTTGTTGCAGGCGTTCTTATATGTAGTCTCATTTATGCGTTTGTGCTATGCTGCCGGAAGTTTTTTTCCCCAGGCTGCATCGGCACATGGTCACTGACAATAGCCAAAAGGTAGTCCACTGTTACTTGTGGAAGACACGAGGGGACAACCCCAAAGCCCCCACAGAAGCCGGAGGAAGTGCCTAGTCGTCCCACACCCTGTAGGGGCACTTAGTGAAACGTCCAGACACTGTGTGCGTTGTGCATGCTGGCGCAACATTCACGCAGTTCCCCCTCTCTCAATATGTGTGTGTGTGTGTGCATTTATTGAGAGAGCCTTTGTTGGTCTTTAAAGGGCCGAAGGAAAACCAACCAACCTTAATTGGGGGTGGTAAATCTGTGCTTTGAGACAAGCCCACCCAAACCTTCATGTGATCCCAAAATGGAAACAGATTTGCCACAAAGGGCGTGTGGTCATTTTGAGGGTTGCCGTATTTTAATATCAACCGCCCCCTTTGAGTTTGCCTCGGGCCTCAAAGCACCCCGACACGCAGGCAAGAAGTTCGAGGAGCTGAAGGTGGACAGCAAAGTTGACGGCGCCAAAGCTGAAGGCCACAGGTCCTGTGGATCCATCCACTTGAATTTCTTCTTTAGGGGAATGTTGTTGTTCTACGTTCGAATCTCCGGGGTCCTTTCCAGAGAACCAGAAGACCTGGAAAGAACAAAGTTCGGAAAGGATGGGAATCAGCCCTTAGATTGTCAGCTCGAGTTCTGAGTTGGTGTCTCGAAACTAGTTCCACACTGTGTTTTCTGGGGGGATGGCTCCACTCTGTTGCTCTTCTTTAAAGGCGAGAGAGAGAGAGAGAGAGCGGGTAAAGTGAGAAAGTATAAGAGAACTGGAGTTTTGTGTTCTTTCAACTTCAATCAGCTTCGCCGGCTCTGCTGGTAATATGGCCTTGGCTGAAGAGGCGGCAACGCAACTCAGGGCACGATTTGCAAGTTTTGCTCAGGGCTTGACACATGAGTCAGGCTGTGTGTCATGTTTTACGTTCGCTTCACTATGGTGCGGATGGACAGAACTTAGATAGAGGTCTCCAAAAGCAAAACGGTAGTTTGCTGAAGAGATGAACCTTTGCTCAAGATGACAATGTCTGTAGAGATAGCCATGACTGGTAACTATCACCTTAAGCAAATGGAGTATAAGAATAGTTGAGCTAGCTGTGGCTCTCGGCAGACAACTTGAAAATGTCGGCCTGTATGATGGAAACTCTTCCTGTAGCGACTCCAAGCTTTCAATGGTGCCAACCGTCAGTTTCTGTTGTTGTCCACATCCCTGGGTTTGTCCTAGAATGGGACATGAAAGCCCCTTAAAATGGTGTTGGAATGGAAACAGAGAGGAAGCTATTTGTTTGAGGGATTCCGCTTCTTAAGTTTTGAACACCGCCATGAAGCAATTGTTGGTCTCAGGTGTAGTCGTGAATACCGGCGACTACGGCGTTTTTGCTGACATTGGCTTCGAGCAGAACGTCATTTTGGCAATACCTAGAAGGACGGAAAACCAGCCTGCGGACGTCGCATCATGTTTTCTGTCAGCGAGAATAAAATGAATGCACCGCGCAAATACTGCAGTTGCATGTGCGGAAGTCGCATCAGTTATTTGGCCATGAGGTTGTGTGCATGTCGTTTTGTGAGTCAGAACTGCAGCACGCCTTGCTAAACCAAAGGGAAACCACCTCCTTGGGGGAGTTTCTCCGATTTGAACCGCCACCCCCCATTTGGCGCCCAACGCTCTGAGAGGTTTTGGAGACGTTTCCGCCGTGGCGATGTACTAGAGGACCTGCACCTAGATGGCTGTGGGTCAAAATCCTGTACCCCCAGTGAACATCCCAATCCCCACTAAAATAGACTAAACTGGGTGGTGCACCTACCCCAAAATGGTAACATTGGTTCTGACCCACAGCCAGATGTGTCGAGAGTTCGTTGATGCAGTTTGCGGGCCATGACAATTTGCAACGGCAAATCATACGAACATATCGATGTGTTAATTTGCGACACATGGTGAACCCCTTTCTGTATGTATGGTGTTTACCTCTGATTCTCTGGAAAGCCGACCACAGAACACAGGGCACGCCTTTGGGACGAGCTTATGGGACAATTTATGGGTCCCATTCAGTTTGCTACGGGACCCAAACATGTCAAAGATGATTTAGCAAAAGGACCGCCAAGCGGATGCCGTGTTACACGGGGTGGATCTGACAGACTCACCCTTTTCGTTGCCGGTTTTACCCTTTGTCTTGGCCCCTTCCTCTTGCAGGAAGGCCCCATCTTACTAGACAATCTCAAACAACAAGTTCCCACTTTGAAGATGGCGTGTGTCAAGAAATTCGCAGGACCTACAAGTGCTGTCAGTCGACCTCAAGCTTCGCCGCGCCTCAGTCACACTGCAGGAGAGCACGATCGACAGAAACGCACGTGTTGTTTTCACTATTTTGAACTGATTGTGTGTGTGAAAATGGCGGCACCCCTTTAAATTGTTGTTTGAGGAAAACTAACCACCTCACCTATGGCAGTGGCCTTGTCACTTTGTTGGTCACTTACCCTAACGTTGACCCACATATGCATTAGCGGGCTTAGCCCGTGGAAGGAAGGAACCCTTTCAATCCTGAGCAAATCAACATAATCATGGATTACAGGCGAGCGTCATTCCGGGGCCTTCGCGAGTTTAAGGCAGTTTGGGCTGATGTTGAGATTGCTGATCATGGGTTGACATAGGAATGAGCTGTTTCGAACGCGTGCATTCCCTTTAGCCGCTAGCAGTTGCCAGACATGACGAGAGCGACCCTGCAGGATGTGGAGCAAGCCCTGATAGCTGGCCGTGTTCCCTTGGAGGCGGGCAGTTAAAAGGGCTGGGACGCATGCCGCTGTTCTTGCCGTGGCTGTCGCGTTGATGGCGGAGGTTTTGCTTGCTGCAGTGGTTGATGTATTGCTTGTGGTTGTGGGTGTTGCAGTTGCAGTTTCTGCTGCCGCCGCCGCTACTCATCGTATTTGTATCTGTGGACTTTTGGCTATTTGTTGGAGTAGCTGGGTTCTTTAGCCGTGTTCGTTTCTGCTTTGGGACGGATGCGGCGTCCTTGTCAATGTCAGCAAACTGAGCCCATGGACTGCGCTCGGATAGAACTGAGCCCACGCCCGCACCTCTGAAGCAAACAAGCTCGATTGCACTCGGTTTTCTCGGTTGCTCCTTGAAGTGACCCAAGGCAAGAAGCATAATTGTGACGTGACCTTCGGGCCCCCCAGACGGTTGTTTGCTCGTTTTCTCCCTAGCACCAGAGGGACCTTGTGCTCAAGAGCGAGTTCTTTTTGTGGGAAGTCCAATGTCTCAGCGGCGTGGACTTAAAACTCAGCTACCCAAACGTCTCAGCCTTGACGATTAGAGTTTCTAAGTGTGTGCCAGTTGGTGTGTTTGCTAGGCTGTTAGTTGTGCTTTGCTTGCCTCTTTCTTCCTTGCTTGCTTGTCGCGCGCACTTGTTTGAGCTGGATGGCGCATGGGCTTTATCCGTGTGAGTTTGCTACCAGCGCCCTGTGGCCAGTTGTGTAGATGATGTGTGTGTGTGTGTGTGTGTGTGTGTGTGTGTGTGTGTGTGTGTGTGTGTGTGTGTGTGTGTGTGTGTGTGTGTGTGTGTGTGTGTGTGTGTGTGTGTGTGTGTGTGTGTGTGTGTGTGTGTGTGTGTGTGTGTGTGTGTGTGTGTGTGTGTGTGTGTGTGTGTGTGTGTGTGTGTGTGTGTGTGTGTGTGTGTGTGTGTGTGTGTGTGTGTGTGTGTGTGTGTGTGTGTGTGTGTGTGTGTGTGTGTGTGTGTGTGTGTGTGTGTGTGTGTGTGTGTGTGTGTGTGTGTGTGTGTGTGTGTGTGTGTGTGTGTGTGTGTGTGTGTGTGTGTGTGTGTGTGTGTGTGTGTGTGTGTGTGTGTGTGCGTGTGTGTGTGTGTGTGTGTGTGTGTGTGTGTGTGTGTGCGTGTGTGTGTGTGTGTGTGTGTGTGTGTGTGTGTGTGTGTGTGTGTGTGTGTGTGTGTGTGTGTGTGTGTGTGTGTGTGTGTGTGTGTGTGTGTGTGTGTGTGTGTGTGTGTGTGTGTGTGTGTGTGTGTGTGTGTGTGTGTGTGTGTGTGTGTGTGTGTGTGTGTGTGTGTGTGTGTGTGTGTGTGTGTGTGTGTGTGTGTGTGTGTGTGTGTGTGTGTGTGTGTGTGTGTGTGTGTGTGTGTGTGTGTGTGTGTGTGTGTGTGTGTGTGTGTGTGTGTGTGTGTGTGTGTGTGTGTGTGTGTGTGTGTGTGTGTGTGTGTGTGTGTGTGTGTGTGTGTGTGTGTGTGTGTGTGTGTGTGTGTGTGTGTGTGTGTGTGTGTGTGTGTGAGTGTGTGTGTGTGTGCGCGCGTTTGTGTGTGTGTGTAGTTGCTTGCGTGTTCGCACTGGCAAAACTCCCCTTTACTTGGGGTTGGCAGGGATAGTCATCACCTCCTTTGTGGGGGTTGCACCCTGTCGCACGTTTGATTGCTGCTGGTGTTGACGGTGGCCTTGTGCTTTAGGAGCTCCAGGAGGGGAACTACTTGAACGGAGTGGTGGATACCAAGAACCAGTTTCTTGGACGTAGTGCACGGAGGGACCTCCTGTTTTTTGGCTTTTGCATGCGCGGTCCTCGACGAAATGCGAAGCAAGACCCTGTTTGGCCCCTCTCGCCCCTTTTTAGCTGCTGCATAGGGCCACCGCGCATCTCAAGAGTGGAAAGAATTAGTTGGGGTCCTTTCCTGAACCTACGGGGGCTGACGTCGGCAAATCAGTTCAAATCAGAACTCAGCTTGGGGTCCCTGTTGGGGACCCGGGAGTGATTCCTTGCCAACGTTTGAGTGGTGTCTAGAAAGGGTCGAGCCCAGGTTGTAAACCCTCTTTCGTGCCCTTGCCTGCGTTTTCTGTTTGTTCTTTGTGGGATTTTAAATGGGAATAAGGGATGTGCCCCTCGTTCCGATGTGGGTGTTTCCTGCAATATGGACTCTCTTGTGTTTTTTCTCAAGGAACCCTGGGATCAAACTCTCCAAAAGGGTCCCTCATTTTGGGATCCACCCATATTCCTTACCAACAACAATCGGTCTGGGGGTGTAGCCCAATTGGCTTGAACGCCAACTTGTGTTGACTATTGAGTGCTATGAAATGGTTCTTACACATGTCTTGTACGGTTTGGAGGAATTTGGGGTCAGGGGAGCATGCCGCCGATCCTTGGGCCGCTTTTGAATACTAACATTGGAAACTGCAGTAGTTAGGCAGAAGGTGGTTAGATGTGGGAGGAGGGGAGCGGGAGGGAGAGTTAGGGGTTCTGGCAAATGGGGGAAGGTTTGGGAGAGGATTGGTTTTTTCCATAATGTTTCCATGTTTCTCTGGAGGTACGGTATCTTCGTGAACATCGGCGTGGACCGCTGCCACGGCCGGTTGCAGTTGCCCCGAGCCATCGGCAGCAGACTTCTCCGGGGCCAGGCGATCGGTTCGGGCGAGCACTGGGACAGTTGGGGGTAACGTAGATCAGTACATTCCAAAGACATACATAATATAGAAATATATATATGTATATATATTATAGGACATAATATCATATAGCATAATATAGTATAATATAACATAAAATAATATGGTTAATGTAATTTAATCTAATATACTATGATCTAATAATATCATAATCATATGACACAATAATAAAATACATATACATATGTATATATATACACACATAGGGAAGGCGTGCAGGCCCAGCCAGCCGAGTTCCCTCGACAAGAATCCCGAAGAGGAAGACCAGAGTTCCGAACCTCAAATGACAAGACCAAGCGAGTGCAGAACTGGAAGTGGAGCTTGGCCAAACCTCTCGGGTCTTTAGAGCACCCGTGTGGTCGAGGGGGCCTATGGGGGCATGTAGTTTTATCATAGCATGTTCCATGCCACGGCCAATGCGCCGTTTGGCTCAAGCTTTTAACCACGGCGTTCCGTTTTGTGCTGTCTCGTCGACTCGCGCCATACGGCGCGGTGCACTATCTCCACCCTGGAAAAGGTTGGGGCTGGTAGCGCTGCGGGTGGCTCCGGGTTGGAGCAGGTCACAGGCTGGGGGTGGTGGTTGCATTGGTTTGCTTTGCTTGCTTCGCTGCATTGTTTGCCTGCCTGGTTTGCTGCTTTGTGCTTGCTTTCGGTTGTCTCTGCCCTTGCTGGGTTCATTCATCTTTTGGTTAAAGGCACCCTGTTTTGGTTCGCTTGTTGTGCCAGCCGGGGGCACCGCTTTGCCCTTGGGACTGGGGGACTTAAACAATCTCTTCTTGTTGGTGGGATTGGGCCTGTTTATTCTCTCCCGAAATAGTTTCAATCCCTTTCGCAGGTTATCAGCCGTAGGATTCGTCCTCGGTTGGCACCGCGAACCCCTTTTTAATAACAACCCTGCAGGCGCCGTTTTCCATAGGCTACTGTAGGACTCATGGCGGGAATCACTGAGGATGGACCTCATGTGGTGACCGATGAGTGGGTTCTCGGCCAGGCCGGAATCTTGGACGTTGTGAATGACGGCCAGGTGCCCGGACAGCCGATGTTTTCGGGTCCTGACTTTTTGTCGGACCACACTTTTTCAGAAGCAATGCCTTCAGAGAGGTCCAGTGCTACTCGCACTGATGATCTGTCATCTAATGCCTCAAGAGCTAATCGCTCTCAGGGTCATGGGACTAATCGTCCTGACCATGATGATTCCGTCTCAGGACGTGATGATGACGAGCCCGGTATTGCACCTGGAGCTCAATCCTCATCTTTCCCCGAGCTGATGAATATTGGTCAGTCCGAGGTTCGTGACTCCCGAGGCAGCAGTAGACCTGTGCCAGCCAGTAGCATAGCTTTTCAAGTGCTCGGTAATCCCGAACCTGGTACATCCAGTGGAGTTGCATTTGATGTTCATCTGCCGACCGAATCCGGTGGGCTTGATTGGAGAGCCTCATGGCCCAACGACGGAAACATTTTTGGTATGGATTTCGCCGCATGGATGCCAGGGCCACCCGCCCCATCATCTTTCCCGCAATTCCAAAGCCCAAAACGGGCTGCTGGGAGCGATGAATTCATGCTACCTTTATCGATTGAGAATCTCAATCCTGATGTGGCCAGCCGTAATGTCAGGCCAAGGCCGTCGGTAAACCCGACCATGAGGAACATGTCCCCTCCCCCAGGACTTTCAGGATTTGAGAGCCCTAGGGAGCGGAACATCGTAGATAGATTGGATTTGCATCCCAGTCCAACCCCGAGCAAGCGATCAAGGTCAAATTCGACTGGATCGCATAGGGCAAGGGGGATGGATCGGGAAACTGCCCACAGGGGAAACCCCAGTACGCGGGACTCAGGACGTGGTCGATCAGGTGATCCAGCGTCGATCATTGGTAGGGACCCGCTAAACGCAGACACATTGGTCAACGTGCTTGATGGGATCGATGCATTCCAGGAGGAATTTAATAGGTCAAATGGCTCGAACGCACAAAGTGTTCGCCCTACGCCCAATGCGGCTTCCTTTTTCGCCTTGGACAACATGGACGGAACTAATGTTCCGATAGAATCTGAGTCCATGATGGCATCAAGTTCTAGTCGCAATCACACCATCAGTACTGCCACTGATATTGAATCGATGTCTGAATCTAGAGTGTCCAATGCGACCGATTTGAATGACATTGTCATTGCTGACTCGAGACCTGATGTTCCTATGCGAACTAATAGACCTGTTGTTCCAAAATTGTCCGTGGCCAAAGGCCTGGGCATGACACAACCCTCGGCGGTTCGTGATGCTAGGAGATCTGCGCCGTATCAGAGCCAGTCTCCTAATCGGAGTGAGCTCCTACGGCCATCTACGGCCATACAGGATGATTTCAGAACTCCGCCAAAATCTAATCCAGTCATGATTGACCTGTCCACTCCTCGGGACCGTGGATATAGGCATAGCCCCATGGGCGAAGATCAGCCCAATGAAGTCGCTGATCTTGTCACGGCCCTTGAAAGAGGGAGAGTGGACTCTTCCGTAAGTGCGATTATTCATCGTCTAGTTGCTAAGGTCGAAGACCTTGGGCATAGGAATGATAGAAGTGATCAATGCATCAAACAACTGGCCACTGAGGTCAACTCGTGGAGAACCAAATACGACCAATGCGTCCATGTGAACAACACATGTACGCAGGCTGCAAACGCGTCAATGCACTTTTCACAAGGGGCTAGGGATGTCGTAACCGAGCTTGGCCAACGAGTCAAGATCATTTTCGATCGTACGACTAGCTTAGGCGATGCCCTGAATGAACGGGCCAGCTATGACGACGTCGCTCGATCGATCGTCCAAGTCCAAACTGTTTTTGAGTCTCTTTCTGATCGAGTTGCCGAGCTTGTTACTCGTGTTGAAGCAATCGAGAGATCCCTTGTGGAGAGTCAATCCAACCATCCTGCAATTGGTGGTGTGAACCTCAAAATCGAGGACTTATCCACCAAAATGTATAACATTGACAGGATGATGCAAAATGCCGAACAGTGTTGGCTTACCAACAAGGAAGGCATAAAGTGGATCAAGGACCAACTCTGCGAGACGCAGACCAATTTAGAGGTCAAGTCGAGGGACTGCAAGTCCTACACGGACAAGCAGAATACTCATAACATGGCTGTTTCGACTACACTCAACAGCAAACTTGGATCACGCAGGAGGTAGGCGTGCCACTTCCCGTACTCCGGATAAGCGGCCACCTCCGCCTAGCCCTCCTGACAACGATCCTCCACCACCACCTCCTCCTGACCGGCAAAGCCCGGGAGGAGGGGGGAAGAAGAGTGCTGCCGGTGGAAATCCTGGCAACGCTGGCGAACCCAGATGTAAATACATCGGTGATGGGCGCATCCACCTCGTTGCTGAATTTCATTGCAAAGGATGCAGAGGTGCGATTTGCGAGTATTGCTTCTCGTTCAAAGAGGACCTATGTGAAGAATGCTCCCGCGACGGGCCCCGATGCGGTGTCTGTAGGGAGAGTTCGTTCCTGACCAAGGGAATTAACTGTCAATTTTGTAAGACTTACTACTGCACTAGGCATTCAGCCGGGCAGGATGACTACAGGAGATTTGGATTTGTCAAAGGACCCTGTTGTCTTGCGTGCCTTAGGGACGAAAGCAGGAGGAGAAGGGACCCCGATGCTACTCGGATCAGGAATAGGTCCCCTGGAGGCGCGCCTGAGACGAACCCTACGCGGTCATACTCGCCGCCTCTGCGACCGCCTGTTGATAGGTCCCGTGATGTTCCTGCTGAGGGTCAGCCCAATGCGGCGAGCTCTCAGGGCGCTCCAAAGGCTGCGCCAGCTGCAGCCCTAGATAAGCGTGAAACCGGGTATTACCCAGGATACGATCCAAATGGTGCAAGACCGAAGGATCCTTCGGGCCTTGACCCGCCAATCATGCGTGGCCCTGATCCTCCCGACAGGAATTGCCGAATGTGTAATCGGGATATTCCTGATCCCAGCAAAATTGAGGATTGTAGGGTATGCATGAAAAGGGCGTGCGACATTTGCATTCCGAAGGCTACTCGCCTATGCCCTGTGTGTGCAATGTCAATCGGTAGTTCACAGGTCCCACAGCACCTTTTCGGAACAGGTGGTGGCGGATACAGTAGTCATCAGGATCCGAACTGTACAGCTGCGACTAAATGCATTTCCATAGACCTTCCATCAGAGCCCGACGCGGCTGGTCTGAGGGTATGGATAGCCAACATGAAGGAAGCTGTTAGCAATGCCTACAGCTATGATGGACTATACGTCATCAATTGGCTAACCGAAGTTGAGAAGGCAAAGTCCTTTGAAGAACTGAATGGAGAGTGTAGATACGTTCTTGAAGCCAGGTTCAATGCAGCCATTCGAAAATGCATCAAGACTGTTGCGATCATGGACAAGATCAATCGTCTCACTGAGGCTGCTCAACGCGCCAACAACCGCATCAAGAGCAGGCAGATCTTGTGGCTCTTATACGACCACTTGAGAACTGCAAACATCGGAGAGCAATCATTTAGAATAATTGAGCTCTCGAACCTGCGGTGTAGCGTTTCGACTTTCTATGCAGAGGAGGAACGACTCGAGCGATTCATCGCGAAATGGGACCACATTCTTGCGGGTCTCGATGAACCGCTGACCGAACAGGTGAAACGGTCGCTATTCAGTGAGAAGGTCAGACACCTCAACTGTTTAGCGCATGATATCAGGGAGTGGGATAGAAACATATCCAACCCTGATGTCTGCAGCTATGAGTGGCTTCGCGCTCGTTGTAGGAACGAGATCGACCGTTGGAGAGTTCGTAGGAATCAAGTCAATATGCACAAAGATTTTTACGAGCGAACTCCGTCCAGGGAAAGAGCCCAGAAACCTGGTGCTCCTGGCCCTCCTGTCAGGAGACGGTCGCCATTTGGGGACTCTCGCAGGCCTAGTCGGCCTCCTAGTGACCAAAGAAAGAAGACT